CTCCAGGCTGAGCCCCTTCCCAGCTCCCTCAGCCCCTCCTGGTGCTCCAGCCCCTTCCCAGCTCTGTTCCCTTCCCTGGACACCCTCCAGCCCCTCAGTGTCTGTCTTGTCGTGAGGGGGCCCCATAGTATCCCAGGATTTAGGGTGCCTCAGCAGTGGCCAGGACCCCGGGAAATACATGAGATCTCCATGAAAGGACATTTGTAAGAAGCTCAGCAATCGGTGCCTCAGGGTGCTGCTTTTGCCATCCAAGCACTTCCTTTCCCCAAGAACAGCCCCAAACAGAGCTCTACACCAGCTCTTCAGGTTCATGAGCAGATGCCAACCCCCCAATAAACCCCCAGGAATCCCCACCCCATCAGGCTGGCACGGGCTGGGCACTCACCTGCAGGCAGATGAGGGCGAGATACCCCCACACCTCAGGGTTGGTGTTATTCAGGGCATTGGCTTCAGAAAGAGCATCTTCTGCTTCCAGCATCTCTTCCAGCTTGAGGGAGAGAGGAGAGGCATGGACACATGACAGAGAGCAGGCAGAAAGGGCTTCCCAACTGAACAGGCATTGCTCTAACAGCAGAAAGCTCCTAGGAGGGCTTCCCTGAGAGAAACGTGGGGGGAAAGGACTTAAGGCACAGACAAGGAGCCATCCTCAGTGCCAGAGCATCCAGCTCTCAGCTCTGGAGCAGGAGCTTCCCACTGCTGACCCCTGTGGGATCACACACTGTTTCCAACTTAGCCTCCAGCTGTAAGGAAAGCAGCACAAACCCCTTCACCTCCAGGAACTGAGTGATCCAGCTGCATGAGGAAACACGGCCGTGTTCCTGCTCCCTATTCCTGCTGTGCAGCTGCTCTGGGCATGCAGGGGTAGCTGGTGCCCAGACCACCACTCACCTCCCTAACCTGATTCCACAGGAGGTAAACACTTGGCCAAGGGGGAACAGAAGTTTAAATTCCTTCCTTGATTGCTTCCTCAGCCAAATTCCCTTGGAGGAGCCTGGCAAGGTGTCCCCTGGGGAGACACTGCACTGCTGGTGCCTGGGTGTCCTTGGCAGCCCTTCAGAAGTGCTGGATTCCCTAGGACAGGGAAAGCACCGAGACCCCTCCCTGCTGACACCCACCCAGTGCCTCGGTGACATGCAGGTCATGTGCAGGCAGGAGCTCAGAGCAGAGCCCAGATTGTTTGCCTTGACTCCCTGGGGAAGGAGGTGCTGCCAGGAGCTGGGATGAGGCAAAGGATGGCTGTGCCCTGTCACTGTGACATTTCATGAAAATCCTTTTGCTAGAATTTTTCTCTTGAGAAGCCTCAGAAAAGAAATGCAAACAATAATCTGATGGCTGTGGCATGTGGTCTGGAGATGGTTTACCAACATCTTTGATTGGTCTCATGTGGATACTTAATGACCAATCCCAGGCCAACTGTGTCAGATTCTCTGGTCAGTCACAATATTTTATTATTCATTCCTTTCTAGCCTTCTGATGAAATCCTGTCTGCTATTCTTTTAATATAATTTTAGTATATTTAGTATATATATTACAATTTCTTTTAATATGATATATAATAAAATATATAATGTCTAATATATATAATAATATATATAATAATATATAATATATAATAATATATAATATATAATTATATATAATTATATATATATATATATATAATAAATAAAAATAATAAATCAGCCTTCTGAAACATGGAGCCAAGATTCTCATCTATTTTCTTGTCTTGGGGACTCTCAAACACCACCACAGTTCCCAGAGCAGGGTCTGAAGGTGACACCATCCAGGTGCCACACTGGGGCTGTCACAGCACACAGGACACGGTGGCATTTGGGGGCATTGGCTCACAGGCAACCAAGAGTTGCTTTAAACAAGGGGATCCTACAAAAGCCAAGCCCTGTGTCCTGTGCCACCAAGGGGAGGCTGAAGCAGAGATTAACTCAGCATTTCTTTCTGAAGGGCTTAAGTTTTGTAGGAGATCTGAAAAGAAATTACACTCTTCACCCACTAATTTCCCAGTCCAAACCTAGAGGGAAAGGACACGAAGGCAGCTGCACTCACCCTGTAGCAGGCGATGCCCACGCCCAGCCAGGTGAGGCAGGAGGCAGAGTTGTCACAGGCGAGCAGGAAGATGTGCTTGGCCCGGGCATACTGCCAGGAGAGAGACAGACAGACACATCCCTGCATCACCCCACAGACACACAGGGCTTTGCCAAACACCCTGCTCCCACGGGGCTCAGACACCCACTG